GTGAGGCGCTGCTGCCGCCCGCGAGCTCCGCCCCGCGCGCGCCGGGCCCCGTCACGGGCAGGGAGCGCGAGGCGTCACCGCGCGGCGGCGTCACGGCCAGGGGACGGCGCGCGCCCGGGGGCTGCGGGCGCGCGTGCGCGCTGGGTTCCGGGCCAAGGGTTCGAATCCCGCCCGGGACTCTTGGCGGTACCCCCGGCCCCAAGGCACCGGGACCCTGCGGCTCCAGCTGCTGCCGCGGCGGTCGGTGAGCGGCTGCCGGACCCCGACAGGCGAGAGTAAGAGAGGCCCGGCGTAGTGCCGTTCCGCATCTGCGGGAATGCGCCGCGCGAGGGCAGGATGTGAAGGTGCACCGTGGTACAACCATTGCCATTGCTCACTGCAACAAATCCCCTGCCAGGCCGCAAGCACAGGACACGCAGCCTTGACTTGCCTCTCAGAGGGGCTCTGCACGCTTTTAGGACAATTCAGAATGGCGCTCTGTCGCCTTCAGGTTGCCCATTTCTCCGAGCACAGACTGACCGCCCTCTGCAGGAGCCACCTGCTTCCCGCAGGAAGTCAATACATGCAAGGAAGAAGGATGCTACCCTCRGTTAATCAGCGAGGAAGCAGTCCCTGATACGTAGCCGGACAGCTATTACAGCTACCCTTGCAGTCTAACTAGCCGATGACTAAATAATAGGATGGCACTGTAATTAGTTTTGTACAGATTTAACAGTAATCTTACAGGCATGAGCCATGGTGTATGAGATGCACAAATAGGCTGTGCATGTTTAGCAGATACCCTTTGAGACACCGCCAGGCACTGTGTGCTCACACAGAGCTGTACAGACAGAGCGGTGACCTGTGCTGGGCCACCTGACTACAGCTCAGGAATCCCCACYGAGCTGCTGCTCACATGCTGCTTTTTGGGCATGTGGTAAGAAATACTGAACCTGGAAGACATCAAGAGGTTCACAAATCCTGGACAAGCCTTCAAAATCTACCCAAAACAAAGATTGGGGGGTTACTTTGGTCACCCTTAACAAACCCGTGAAATAATACTTGAACAGAAGTTTGAGATTTACATGTCAATTTCCAGTGGGAAGCACATGTGAAACTAAATAATTGCCCATCGAAGTCCATAACCCGATTATTTTGAGATCTTCAACCAAAATAGGCTGCAGAGAATGATAAAAACAAATACCATCATATTTTTTAAAGGCACTGAAGAGAACACTACTAAAGACCAACTGATGAGGCACATATAAGAAAGGCACAAGGCACTGAGTCACTGATTCCAGAGTCATCTCAAAGYTAAGACATTGCTCCGCACTTGGGAAAATTGTCAGTGGTGTTCACCAAACACTTGTCATGACCAAGACTCTTTAACTAAGAAGTTAAAAAGGTGACCTTTTCTGACAAATGATAGGGAAACAGCCAAGAAAACGCTGACGTATGATGCTCCTGAACCATCAAGCAAAATCAATGAGCCACAGCTGCTTACACAGCTTTGAAAACACATCCAATGTTTCCCTTGCATTAATGTTCCATTTCATGGTCATTTGTCAGCTTTAGCATCTTTCAAATGGATTTCACTGATGGAGGAAGGGTTAGTGAATAGTAGTTTTTGAAGTCAAAGTTCTTTCCTACAGAAGCCAGCAAAGATTGYGGAAAATCATCCCACATTCCTCTGCCCATGTGATCCTTTGTATTGCTGCACAAAGCCCGCACAGCACAGAGCACCATCCCAAGAGTGCTTTGCAGAGGTGATGTACATCCTCACAGGCCTCAACTCTATCACGCCATAATCCTGAAATCAGAGCATCTTCAGTACCAAGAGCAGGAGAAAGAGCTAAATATTGACTTTGAGATAAAAAATACCTATCAACACCAAACACCAGCACTTAAGGCACTAGCTCTCACTAAATTCAGCTCAAACCCAGGGGCATGGATCATGTGTCATGCTACCAGAGAAAAAYAAATCTTATAGGAACAGTGTAATTGCTGACATGGAAAATAACAGTAAAAATAGCTGACAGGAGTTGTAATAAAGTATATCAGGTATTTATGCATTCAGTTCAAACACTGTACAGGTGACAGAAGTTGGAAAGTGTGAGGGTGGAAATTATAGAGTAAGYACATCTCAGGATAGTATACTCAAGCAATTGACTGAAATCTGGCAAAATGGCTCTCCCTGAATTCCAGAATCAATACCTTATTGCAGCCAAAGGTTCTCACCTCCTACATGTATTGCTYGAGGCTAACAAGTGCCTGTATTAGGTAACGCTAGAGCCACAGCTTCTAAACACTTTGAAAAGGAACAAGCCAGCCCCTTTTCAGAGCCATGCCATCATTCTCCTTTTTCTCCCATTTCTTTGCCTCCCCAGCACTCCTTCCTATAGATGGCACCATATTACTATGTTTTGAGCTACATCCAGAAAAGTTTAAAGTTAGTGATTAATTTAATATGTATTTAATCAAATGAGAGGTTAACTGACAAAGGAACAAGCTGCTGGAGACAGCACAGATAAGAGAAGTCAAAATGGCTTCTTCTGGGAACTGCAGTTGTGTAAAGTTGTGTAGTTGTGTAAAGTGATACCAGGATGTTATAACATGATCCAGAGTCTTTCCTCACCAGTGGGAGGCCCAACAGTCTTTTTAAATTTGAATCCAGCTCACATGCATTGAGCAAACAGCAGTGTTATTTCAAACCTTTGCTAATCATGTCTGCTATGCTCTTCTGCCTTCCCAAGACAAAAGGAAAAAAGTGCCTTCAAGGCATTATTTCCACTTCCACACAACCCCAATGCACCATTGGCTGTAAGGCTGAGGCCAGACTAAAGGAAGAGCAAATAGATTGGGGACGACAATCTTAAACCACTGTTGCAAGATTAATAAAAGTGTATTATACAGTCTAAGTAGTATAATAGCAATAGTACTGATAGGTTTGTCTGGTCCAACCCCATCACTGAAGTTTATGAAGCAACTAATATGCCTTTAGGACTCAGCCATATTCAGTAATCCAGAACACAGACACTGTTGACTTCACGAATAAGACAAACCCCTAACATCTGCAGCACTCAGCCATTTAACACAAGGCTGCTATCTGAGATGGCAAGGGGAAACTGGGAGATGCCAGTTAGAAGTATATGAAATTACACTATCTTAAAAAGAACACACTTTCTTAATTATAGGAGACATTCTGTGTGACTATTCAGAAGACTAAACACATCTATAAATGGTCATAACAAGCAATGGTTGCCTTGTATTTGTTCACTTACATCTTAAAGCAGACAAGGGACCTTACTGCAGAATGACACTGCACAGAGTATTCTCCCTTTAGCAAGCATGACAACTGTTAATCTTTRAAGAATGAAGATTTTTACCACCCAGACTTCATTTTACACTAAAGCAAACACACAGAATAATCAGACTTCATTTTATGCTAAATAAATACCCTAAATGAACAATATTCTACTTAACACRAAGAGTATCTGTAAAATACAAGGCAAGTGCAGTTGACGGAAGTTGACAGACATTCCCATTCATTGGGCTATATTGCTGTCACAAATTTGAAGTTCTGTKRCACATCAGATAGTGGAGCAAAGTAGCAGTGGGTAAGAACCTACTCATCCAACAAATGAATACCTGGTAAGGCATAGGCAGAATAGGCACAAGCTTAGCCAGAGGTAAAGAGTAAAGCAATCAAAAAGAGATTTCTAACAGAATGGTAAATGTAACTGTCATTCCAGCCTTCTTCTCTTTATTACAATTATATAGTGCAGCAAGTTTAAGTTTCAGTGCTTGGTCAGTAAATCTCCTTGATTCTTCCTTAGGGTCCTTAGCCCTTTTCTCACAGCTGCTTTCACCTCCCTTGTAAAAAAATCAAATAAATAAATCAAATAAACCCTGTTCTCTGAACTCCAGATCCCAATCTTATACAGGTCAAAGATGTTTTTGTTACCASACCCATTTCTTTTAACCTCTCAATGCCCTTTGATCAAGGGCTGCTGGCATAGGAAGAGCTTTGCTACAGCTGATATTATCTGCAGCACTACAGCAGAAACCTGAAACATTCTTCCTGCCAGCTGACACAATACTGGGTTTCTGCAAGGCGCTGCAAAACTTTTAAAATCATCTCAATCTGCATAGAAATGGACCAAAGAGGCAAGACCAAAACATAACCTCTGTTCTGAGAATTAAATACTTCATGTAATCCATGGTGCAAGATGAAAACCACAAAAACAAAGTAAACCCCCCAAAAATACCAATTTCAAAAAACCAAACCTGAACAAAAAAAGAAAGGCTGAGACTGCTGCAAGGAAATTCCTATCCTAATATCTAACAAATTGTGATAAACATTTTAGAATAATACACAGTAAGCCTTAGCTCATGAGGGAGCCTTGGTATTACTAGGGAAAAAAAAAGAACAAGAAAAACAARGAAAAGCAGAGAACACTGATGTGTCCCCTTCTCCATCTGAGGATATGTTTTCTATATTTTTAAACCAGACTTACCCATAGAGTATTTTGAGAATATTCTCCTATTGCACTAAGATGAGCACATTACGGCTGCATAAATGCTGCCTGTTTCAACTTCCTGCTGGTTAAAAAAACGGCACACACACAGCCTCTTCTAAAGAATCAACTTCCATCATCTTAGTACATCCATTGCTTTGATGAAAATTGAAGAAGTCAAGGTCAAGTAAAAGGTTCTTGCATTCAGCACAAGCAGAAGGGTTTGTTATAGTTTTATTTGTGAAAGAGTTCATTAATTGAAGACTGCACCTGTCTCCCACGCAGGAGAATGCTCACCTTTCTAATGTTCTCATGATTTCCTGAGGTTAATGATGAATTTCACCATCATTACATATAAATTTCCCCTCTTTATGAATATTCACAGTCCAGCATAGTTAAAAAGGAAATCTGYAAGATTAAAAATTGATTATTTCCAAGTTTATACTCAAATCTTACAGTTAACAGTTCTGAGATATAATAAAAGTAATCAATTCACTTCCATTTCACACCACAGTGCAGGTGTATCATAGAGATACACAGTCAAACATAAAGTAAGTTCCACAAGTCTCAAACGTATTCATGTTTAACTTCYTTTTCCAGCAAAATTTTGAGAATGTAGAAAAATGTCTTAATAAATTGAATAATTTCACTTAAATGCAATGGACTAGACATCTAGTTAGTYATCTATCAGGTGCATTTGCTTCCAGGAAGTATCTTGCTGTGTATCCTGAACTAATATTGCAAGAACCAAAATATACCTTACACAAGTGGTTTGAAAACATTTGGCTTTATCTCTGTAGCAGTTTCTCACAACCACATAAATAACTGTCCAGTTACTAAGGAAAGAGGATAAATCAGAAAGAACACACATATTGGCTCAAACTCCTCCTTGCCCCAAAACTGGCATTCATTTAATTTTCATGAAAAAGCAATCTACATGTATGCATATAAGAATASATCTTTTACTGAAAGACACAAAGATCAAACGTTTTACAGAGAACTAACAACTGTCAGATTCTTACATTCAGTCCAAAATGAAGTATTAAAAGTTCCCTTTTATAGCAGCAACTTGATTCCATGAATTTCACTTGTTACAGCAAACAAACACASTCATTACTTATTTTTTATATTTTCCCTAAAGTTAGCAGACATGGGAACATTTGTCTTAAAGTGAATTAAAAAATTACAAATTTAGCCTCTTTTAAGTGATGCATCCCAAGATTCTGGTTTGTACATGGCATTTCTGCATTGTTCACAAATAGCACACCTAGAGACAGTAATATACAAAATTCTGTTAACATTGTAGGACAACACACATGYATGGGTAGAAGGCATTTTAATTGGTAAATGAAGAATTCCAAATTTCTCCTTTACTAGTATAGCATACTGCAGAGAGCACTGCAATATACACTGCAGATTTTGCATGCTAAAATGTTGAATCTATACTGTTTTCCACCACTGCATTTATTATCTTCTTATTCTATTATCAAATTTAAGTTGCAGCCAGCTTAATTCCATTATGTCATTATATCTGCAAACAATTCAAAACATTCCCAATAGGATATGCCATAATAGTTKGAAACATTAATAACAGCATTCCATGTTATATTTAATTCTTTTCAGAGAAATAACTACTCTACTTGGTCTTTTAAACCACTGATGAACASTCAGTGTGTGGCTGAACAGAAATAGTGTAGAGCTAATATCTGCCCCACGGGTTACTGATGCAAATAATAGTAAAAGATTTAAATTACCTTCTCCCTAAATTCATCAACAATAGAAGGATTCCCTCTTGCCTACCTTCACTTCAAAATAAATATTCTTTTTATTCACTTCTGCCTGGGACTCTTCATTACTTAATGCTTAATTTGTCTTTTATATCTTTTCCWTCCCAAAAGACTGAGTGTTTTCAGAGAAGAAATGTACTATGTAAACCCTTTCAAAAGTTTTAAATATAAACCAACAAAAATCAAGGCACTTAATGTAGACATATGAGCAAAAAAAAATATTACTGAGAGTAATAAGGYCAAATCACAAAGTGAGATTATCAGCAAGTGTGCAACTGGGAAAAAGGTAAAATCTCTTTCTTTTACAACTTTGGCTTGAACTCGCCATAAAGCAGCTTTTTCATCATTTCAGTATTTTTTCCTTCTGGTGGTGAGGGCCATCTGTCATGATCTGAGGAAAACAAATAAAATTCATTTAGTTGATTGACAAATTAGACAGTTCACTTTTGTGTCCTCCCACTGCCCAACTTCAGTCACTTGAAGGGCATTATTTTGTAGCCCATTTCTTACCAGGTATTTCTAGGGTATGGCTGTATAAACTCTGGCCACCATCCACGACCATGGTTATCCCAGTTATGAATGATGCAGCTGGAGACAGTAGGAAGCATACTGCAGGAGAGATCTAGCAAAAGAATGACAATTTTCATCTTTCTTAACAGGCTGGGAATTGTTCATGTCAAAGRAGCTTGTGAAAGGTTTTACAGGCAAGACATAGTAACATTTTCTTCTTAGTAATGAAAACTGTAACAGCCTTAAAGCCATCCTTCCAGCTGCAAACATCAAGMACTTAACAGCAGAAAAACAGCGAGCTGTCACATCAGCATCAGATATTGAGAAAACAACAAAAATCATTGACCAATGTATAAAATATGCACATTCTTGGTGGAAGAAAGCTAAGTATTTTTAAGATACTCTTCTTTTCCTTTATTATCCATTCTTTCAGTCTTTTCTGATGAAGACAACTTACTCAAGAAATAATGCCTGCTATCAAACACTTCAGCTCTTAAGAGGCAGTTGAATTAAATTTTCTGTATAACAGCGACTACTGGTTAAGTCTCTCACTTGACACAACTACACATGGCTACAAGCTTTCTTCTTTTTAAATAAACCATCACAGTGCAAAATTAAATCGTTTTTGTTCTCCATATAATAAAGTGGCTTCAAAATAGAGACAAAGAAGCGAGAGTATCAGAAATGTTCTGAAATATATTACCTCCTCGGGAACAGCYGATCTCTTTGCAGGAACCTTTGGTATGCTTTTTAACCACATCATTACACCTTGTTCTCCATAGTTCGCAACAGCAGTTTCCGAAAATACCAGTCCCTATTTTAAAACAGCACAGTGAAAATTGTTCTCTTGCATGCGTTTCAACTGATCATTCTAAAATTGTGAAGTTGTCATTACTGATTTTCTGTGGGATTGAAATATCTAAAGAGCACTTGAATGCAAGTGTTTGAATGTAAAGGAATAGTATAATTTATACAAGAAGGTAATTTGGCTGCTAGCCACATCTCTGTTCAAGCACAGTAATTCTGATTATTCCAATTCTCTGCTGTCACTTCAATAACAAAAAAGTGGAGTATAAAGAAACTCAGAGGCTGCTTTGAAATTACAACTACAAAATTACAATTTTCATGCTAAATTACAGCAGGAAACGACGAAGCCTCAGGAACAAGTTCTCAAAAGTTTTTTGTCATCTGTAGGAGCACTAGACTGATTTATTGTGAGTTACAGAAGCAGAGAGATTTCAGTCAGAATTTTGACTCTTCCTATTTAGCTGCTGTAGAAACAGAAAAAGATGACTGTGTTTTCTCCAGTGACCATACAGTCCAGTTTAGTCTTGAGAAAGAAGATGGCAATGTGAACACCACCATCAGTTAGGACAGAACCTTTGGGATGCAAGTTTAAGTAAAATAGCAACATTTGAATTGACCCATGAATCATTTACAAAAGATTTCTAAGGTACCTGTATTAACATGATTATGTGAAACTATCTGTTTCAGGATGCACATTTTCCTCCTTCTGTATCCATTCACTACAGGTTACTATTCTCTAAAAAAACACTAACTGTTTTGTATTGTTACCACAGACCTGATGGGACCACGAAGGTCACATAGGTGTCATTGTAACTACAACGTAGGCTTTTGTTACCAGTATAGTAACAAAGGTAGCAAATGCTTCTGAAAGAGCCAAAGCCCTGAAGTGCTTGCTTGTCAAAAACTTCTGACGTGTGCTATAATACATAATCAGCATGATTCATTAGGTAATTAGCATGCCTGAAAAGTATATTCACATAATAATGCTGTCTTAATTACTTACTTCCCCAAGACTTGATAAATCAGAAAAAACAGATAAACAGGAAATACAAGCCAGCAGATCTTAATATTTAACAGGTCTCCAGATGAACCTGGTCTCACAAAGGTTACATAAAAGCCTCTACCTGAATGATTAACAYACATCTGACATTATGTATCCTGTGCTATGCCGAACAAAGCGAGCCAGATGTTTCAGGAAAAGAGGGACAGCAGAATATACAGACATTCTACAAAAATAGTAGCAAGATCTTCCTAGGGATCACTTAAACAAATATGACACCACTTATTACACTCACTGTGAGGTAAGCTAAATTCTGACTGTAGAAGTAGCTAGACAAAGTTTATGTTTCCTCTTTTGATTTCAAGGGAGTAAATGTGCAAAATAAATTGTGGATATGAGAAGATTACAACAGATCACACATTCTCAAATTTCAAAGCCAGAGTTTCTATAACTTCTGTATCTGCAGCACTGTGCACTACAAAACATAGCTGCTCTTTCTGTATGGTTATTTAAAACAACTTTACCTGCTGTCTACTTCCTTAGAAATGTGGCAAGCATATTTTAKCTGACCTGTATAATGGTTTCCCGTCTGCATGAATTTGATAAAAAAAAATCAAAACATACATTTTTGCATATGATTTCTCTGAAAAAATGTCTCTATATGTCTAAACCTAAGCTAACTTAATGTGTAGMAGACCAAGCAAAAGGCATTATGTGMGACATTCACAGRTTTTCAAAATAACTTTGTAAACATAGGTGGAAACCATCAACATACCTGGATGTCAAACAGAAAAAGTTTCCTAAACTCAGAAGTAATGTATCCATTACTGAAACAYGGAACATTCAGTAATTTTATGTCAAGGTTTTGTAAGACAGGTCACCAACTCCTACCACTATCATTTCAYTTAGCTATAAAAAAACTAAAAACTGAGTGTGCCAAGTCAAAGCAGAAAGCAGAAGCAATTTTATCCCACATCCTCTGACTCATCATCCTAAAGTACAAAACACTCTCAAATGGCCCAAAGAGTGCAGAGGGAATTATAAATAAACAAATACATACATAATCCACAAACAGTTACTGGTTATAAATTAAAAAAATCCATTTTGGTCAAAAAGCTCTAACTATGAACATGTATAATGGCTAATTTTAATCAGATCATTTGCCATTACTTACAGGAGCAATGCTGTTGATTCTTACTCCACTGTGAGCCCATTCTAAAGCTAAAGTCTTGGTTAGGTTATTCACTGCAGCTCTGGCAGCTCCTGTGTGCCTGTGGAGAAAAGAAAGCAAAGGAAGCATCGGTTCCCTCAGCTAAGAGTGTCCAATGTTAATTCTACTGCAGCCTCATTAGAGTATTCAGAGTAACCAAGCATCTGGAAGAGAGAGATTCTCTACTTTCCAAGTTTGACCATAGCTTCACTGTTTAAACAAGCTATGCTGTGATTTCCTGTCATTGCTGAAATACCTAAAATCTCTTTCCCAATGTTATATGGGGTCAGCTACACTCTATTGCAGAAGGAGGCTTTACAAAAAGAGAAACAGCTTTAATTCAAACTGTGTAAAACTACCTGTAGGCTGCACAGGTAAAATAACACTTGGAAGAAGAGTGTTCTGAAAGATTGTTTAATTCTTCTGACAAACATGATTAAAATAAGTCACTATTCAAAAATTACTCTAGGTGGATGGAGATAGAGACACGAGAGGCAGAGTGAACTCCTACATCATGCTGCTGTAGGCARCTAGTCTGAAATTATTACAAGTTTGCACAAATGCAAGCAAAATTACTGCAGCAAMAAAGAGTAGACAGTTGGAGTCAGAGAAAATGAATATAATTTAGTTGCTTATGCCAGAAATAAATAACCTCTGGGCACACTACAAGKAAACATGACAACTTTTATGTTCAAAATTAATAGTTACGAAAAACTCTTATCAGCTGACTTTTGGCTTGGGTGGTGACTGATTTGTAAAGGCGTATCTTTTGTAACACTTCTAAAGAAATTTCAATTCAATTTAATTTGAAAGAAGTTTTGACTATGCATCTACACACAACAGTTACTTAGGAAAAWTTTTCCACTGCTATTCAGAATAAGCTTTTTTTTTTTTTCCTCTTAGTTCAACTCAAATGCATCTTCAGCCTATTATCCATGACAATTGAATCAGATACCACACTGGAGATACTCAAATAACTGCAGCTTCAGCACCACCGTGTGGATCTCGATATTTATTCTGTACTGCCAAGAACAAACTAGTGAGAAAATATTCTGCTATTCCTTAAAAAATTTTGGGTTTGAAACCTTTCAACCCTGAATGAGGACAAAGAAAGATAATACAACACTTGCTCAAAATRTATTTTTATATTTTCTTCAACAGAAACTCAATTTCAAGGTTAAAAAAAAATAGAAAGGGGACCTGTTTCCAATGAAAGTTTCCCTGGCAAATCTTGCTCCAGTTTCTTATAAACAAGTGGAGAGAGACCAGGGATGCCATCTACTGGATTAAAAAGAGATCCCTACACATTCAGCCAGGTGATACTCTTCCTGTCTCTTGACCTAACTACTACATTTCCATAGTCAGCTGCTGCTCAGTGCACACCTTTCTGAAGTGTTTAGGAACAGTTAGTACTTCTAGGGAAAAAAATACAAGAAAATGTAAAAAGAAAATATGTATTACGACATTCCAGGAAAGCCATTTCTCACGGCAGCAGTAATGTTGACAATGGCTCCTCCATGTTCCTGCATCCAGGCATTGTACACTGTATGAAGGAGGAAGATAACCTATAAATATCAGAAGAAATGCATACAAATGAACTTGCCAATTGGAAACCAAATTTGGAGTCTTAACTGCAATCTCACTACACATTTGCCATACTGGTGTAAAAAAGCAATCTGCTCTTTGTACCACATCCTTGCCAATCCAGAGRTGAGGCCATGGGGCAACAGGTGTGGTCCAGGTAAGGTTCAGTCAAGAAGCATTTGATGGAAATCAAGATTTCATGTTTCCATGTAAATTACTTTAATGTTCACATTTCAAATGCTGAGAATGACATAACATACTTAAATTTAAGCCTAAATTCATATTCCTGAAGGGAGAGAAGTATTTTTTTATGTTGTACACATGAACACAGACCACAAAAGTTAAGTGGTTTTGCTATAGTCTTTTAAATGAGTATCAAAGTCAACTGATTCCCTAAACCTGGCCTTAACCAGAAGATCATGCTTGCCTAAATGTTTGTATTTATGAACAGATGTAATATACCATTTAATCCAAAGCTTTGGATGAGATTCAGAAAAAGAAATATCCTTCAAATACATACTACTGTCAGAGAAGTGCATGAAAAGAAGAAGCTAAGGAAACTTTACATTTCCTATCTTCTTCACTTCTGGTAGTTCTATAAAAAACAAAATCAAACATAAAAAGCATAATGTGCAGACCTCACCTGCTTTGCAACAATAGAAGGTCCCAGTCAGATTCGTGTCTATCACGGCATTCCAGCCTTTTGCACGGATGGCTTCAGAAGGACTTGCAAACTGTCCCCCTCCATTATTCACCAGGAAATCAATCTTCCCATGCAGACTCAGTGTAGACTTCACCAGAGCTTCTACCTGAAACAGTATTTGTTAATGTAGTATGCTGATTAAGCTCTACAYTCAACTTCATTCTTGGACAGTATTTTCTCTCTCATACTCTTCTCACAGAAAGAGGGAAGGTCCAGCCTTCAGAGAGGCTGTAAGATCGACATGACAGGTTTAGTCAGCCAAAAAGGACTGGGCTATATCCATGCTTACTTAGGAGATTTTGCCATTACAATGCAGGACCCAAATAAGCACCCAAAGAAGAAGGGGATTTAAGTTGCTGAAGATTTGTAAAACCAGACACAAAAGTCYATTACATACAACCGACTAAGAATCTCCTGATGTTTTTGAGAAGTGTAGGGGCATCCACATGAGATCCTTAAAGAGTTCATATATGGTAACTACTACTATTTTTATCTGACCATATACCTGACCATTTTAAATAGAAAACATAAGTCATCTTGAGGCGTTTTTATCATCCTTATCTAGAAGTTTTGTACATTCACTACAGCTCTGACATATGAGTTGGCAACAGTCAGTCTTCTTACACAGAACAAGGTTAATTACCCTACAAAACATGAAGTCTAAAAAATGCTGGAAATACAAGTTATCTTCTTCAGCAAAAATATTATTGCAAGACAGTAATAAGAACTCCATAGCAACAACTTAAAAATTTAATCTTTATCTCAAGAAACAGGAAATGGGACATGGCTGTTTCCTGCTTACATCATCTATCATAACTAGATATCATGCATCAGTTATTCGTACTCAAGCATATATAAAAAGTTCACCTAGCATCTGTAGTCAGAGTAAACATAGAACAATAAAAAAAAACAAAAACAAGTGGAGCAAGACTGCCATTCAAAAAGACTGGGCTAGGGAAGGACATCAATCTGCCTTTCTCTGTATTGAGTTAACAGTAGAAAATACCAGAAACAAAAAAAAAAAGAGCAAGAAATGCATTATCTGTATCTCACAGTAAGTGTGACCAACTCAGTCTCATAAACAACTGTCTTTCATCTTTTAGTGCTAACAGTGCAGGACACTTTAACAGAATAGTATGGATCCTGCAAGGATGCACCTCTCAAAAGAAAAAAACCCTAAACAAATACGTAATGACTGAAAAACAAGTGTCTGCTGAGAAAAAAAAAATGCCTAAAGAAAATCATTTTGATACCTAAACCCTATCTTCAAATTTTGAATGTCATCTTATTCCTCACATTAGTCACAGCAGGTTGTAGGATGTGAGGAAAAAAACCCAGAAAACCAAAACATCTGTGACAGCAGTCCCAAACCCATGCTTGCGAGAACAGCCATGCCACAAAGACATTCTGGCTTCTACTTTTCTCTTGTTGTGAGCAAAGGAAAGTTATGTCTGGCTAGGTAGCAAAAGTTACGCTTTGCTCAGCAGTATCAAACTCTTCTCCCTGTCAGTCTGAGAATCTTGCTTTGAATATTATTCTCTATGACTCACTGAAATATGGGCTCATTTATGGAACAGAAATGGTTTCAGTACAAGGAAGATTTTAAAAGACTAAGGCTACTCTGACTGCASAAAGATAAAAGAGAGAGAAAGAGAAGGGAAAATACTAAGAATCATAAAAAGAAAAGACAGAAAACAAGAAAAATCCACTGAGAAGAGACATCAAAGCACGTTTCCAACAGCTGGACAAAATGTATGTTATATGCTATAACATATCCATTCAAAATGGTTCCTATGTTGTACTTAAGAACTGTTGCTGTTCCTACTTGTTGCACCAATTTAAAATTAAATGAAAAACTCAACAACAAACAAATGCCTAACAGTTCTGCTTCCTGAAAGYCAGGAAAGGCCAGAAGGCTCTCCAGTGACAACTCAAATGGTTCCAGCTGAAGCAATCTTCACAAATTTCTTCTGTGCCTTAGAAAAAGCACCACTGCAGTGCTTCTCCCAGTTACAGCAAACATGGTGACAGCAGCCAGCAGCACAGAGAGAAGGACAGTCTGGTAGAACCCATTTAAATCACAGTGACTACTAAACAAGAGTCTTTTCTATTCCTATAGTTAAAAAATCCACTTGGAAAGAACTTCTTAGAAAAGCTATTAARGACTGTCTTTAGAAGCAAAGCAAAGCTGCATGAGGTAAAGCTYCTAGTTTAGGACATTCCTCTGAAAAAGACAGAAAAGAACAAAATTAGGCCCTTGAGACATAGATTGGAAGAGACAGAAGATTGGAGCTCTGCAATGAGGAACTTTTGTGTGTGACTTCAACTTGAAAATATTATGCAGTAGCATATATTCTGCAGATAACTGAGATGACAGTAGTCATTGACACAGGGAAAAGGGACAAATGTCCACATGCATTCACAGGTCACCCTGACTGAGTAAAACACACAGGCAAACAACCCACTACAGAGTGTTAGAGATTTGCTGTTTGGTGGCTAGAACTAATAGGCATTCTRGCACAGTGGTAACAGGTATTTTTACTCTGTGTTATTGCTGTGTTATTTAAAAGTACAACAAAAASAATCTCTTATCCACAACTCCCCACCAGGCCACAGTCTTTCACTACAGGCTTCACACAGACAGGCATTAAGTATTTATAAACTAACTGAGCCCATGCTAAGCTATAAAGTTTATTGGAAAAGAAAAGCTACTAGTGAAGAGACACAAGGTGTATGCTAAGTAGGAGTCTGCTGAGTCTGTCTGAATTTATCTTGTACGTGTCCAAGTGACAGGTTTTACCCTCAGGATCTGGTCCAGCAGCAGGTGCTGCTGCAAGAGCTCAAGTATGGAAAGGAGATACTGTGAACAGAATTCTGAATTGGTGATTTYGAGGACAGCAGTGCTCTACCAGGAGTTACAAGGTTTTATCTTCCACTTRCCTAGACATGTAAGCTTCTACTTATCTAGGTGCCAGTTAAAGAAATGTTTGTGCACACTGTATGGCAAAAAGGTTTTACAAGAGTAAGGCTTTAAAGAGTACAGTTGCCTGTCTCAAAACACTGCCATGGCCACAGAGGAACTTGCTATAARATGATAAGCTACCAAAGCAGGAACTTGAGAAAAGCACAGAACARAGGAATTTGCAACAGGAAAGCACTAACTCCAGACCTAGCAGAGGTTAAGACCTGGTTAGCATATCTTGGTTAATGCATCAGGATAAAAGTTACCACTATGGCAAACTGTGGGAAGGGAAGCAACTGTTCATACACATCAACCCAAGTTATGGGCACAGCACCTGTGACCACCCCATGGATACTCAAAAATTAGCCTGTATAAAGGTGGTACCCCAAGAAGACTGATGGAGCACCACTGGATCCATGGCTCATGGTTATCATCTGCTTGGTCTTTGTCTTTCTCAGTCTCTCTCCCTCCCTTCCTCCCCTTAATTCAGGCATTCATTCCTCCTGTCTTGTCCCTGTCAACAGATTTGCTGTAGCTCAAAATTCAAGACACAAAAAGAGATAAATAAAGATACACATGCACACAGAGCTGTCCAGTTTGCATCTAAGCAAGAGGAAACTGATATATTCTCTACACATTACGTGGGCAGTGCCAGCAAATATGCAAACAATAAAAATCACTTCAGCTTCATAATCACTAAGAAGCAACATCTATCATTATACAYACTCAGGATATAATGAAAGAAGGGAACAGGTGCACAATCACTGCTGCAGGAYAAAGCCCCTTGACAGAATATAGAAATATATTCTGATGATGGAATAGARAAACCTCAGGTCCTCTTATCCCAGAACCCTTCACTCTTCCATTTCTAAAAATCAAACAGGTTTTTCATCCTTTACAGAACACTCAGTGGAAAACTAGTCAAAAGCAGMAGCAAACTCATGAAAAAAACAAGCCTGACAGGTTACACAGTGACTGTAGGTTGAAAATCCTCCATCCAGCAGGATTATTTCTTGCACATTAAACARAAAGTAAGCTTTGCTAGAAAGCAAAAGGGCTTCTGAGGATGAAGATTTAGAGACTTAAAAATGTGAATTCATTAAGCTATTCCCATGATATCTGCCATCAAGCTTSCACAGCAATTAATTCACTGCACCTTGTTTGCCTTTTCCGAGGCCAGAAAGAGCTCTTAACAAACTTATTGGACTACATGATGAGGGATGAACCTTCTGATGCTTGAATTTCACAGATCCAAACTACAGGCATGAACCATGTCATCTTCAAARCAGGTCAGTTACTTTAAGATTTGCAATAGGAGGCAAAAATTAATCTTCTGGCAATTTGAAAGCACCATCATCTTTCTTAAAWTTTCCCTATTCAAAGTCCCTCCCTCCAGTCTATAAAATCAAAACCAGGACAAAATTCATAGGGGCCTTTAGAGAAATACAGAACTKATGGAGAAGAAGGGATAAAAAATATTGAATGCCATAATAAGACAAATGGCTTGCTCCTACAGGTGATCAGGGTGGCTTCTTTCAAAACAAAGGTTTACTCTTAGAAAGACTTCMGTGAGATGCCAGAGAGAATGATACATCAAATGAATTATGTAGTTCTTCAGGAAACTTCCTGGGCTTTGAAGCTTGTGATGGATCGCTTCTGACATCTAAGGGTACTTGAACTCCTAAGTTCTYTTTTCTTTGTTGAAACATTTATAATGTTTTTCTCCTGCATATGTTCTTTGGYATCTGGTATAAGAGCTAAGAAGAAGGATGTAGTGACTCACATGGAATTCTTGCAGTGGCTGTCCYCTCTACCCAACAATGTGCTCCTGTGATTTCTGAGGTAAATACTCTTCACTCATACTAAGCTGAAAGCAAACAATGAGTTGTACTGTTACTGATGAGTAGCAGACAAAGCCAGTTGTACAAGTCTTATTCTTTTTGTGAGGGAACCCAAAAGTTCTCATGCCCTCTCATCTCCTCTTCTACTGTATCTGTGAAAATACTAAAGTGAGTTATATTATTRTGTTGCCTCTACTCAATATTTGCCTCCTAGGCTAGAAAAATCCTTAACTACRTCTTTTACTGATCCCTGTTCYTACAACTCCAAGTCCCAGGCACTAAATTTTAAGTGAAGAATGGAGTAGGTTTTGAAAGTGGATGCACAATACTCTTCGAATCAAAGTAAAAGCTCAGAAGTACTTTTCCTCTAGTTTCCACAAGGCAAGCAAGTGCAAATTAGGAAAAAAGTACTTTTCACCATTGCTGCTYTYAAGAAACATAATAAATAAGCAATASTAAGCAGTGGATTGTGGAAWACCTGCCACACACTGCAGTTCKGACARTTTTTAGCAGTGTAAGTTGGCAATTGTTGAGTTTATCTAGATTAAACTTCCAAACCTACCTACCCAAGTGCAAGGAAGTGCTATTCTCACTACAAATTTAAGAGCTGAAAACACAATTTCTGGTCCAACAGTAAATTTAGAAATTAAGTAATAACACATGGCCAGGATTTAGCAATCTTTGAAAATCTCAGCATTAACAGAAGAGAACAGAGCYAGAAAGGCACAAGCTAAAGAACAAAAATCACAGGATGTCTTAAACCAATAAAAAATCTGGTCTTGGAGATGGRCATCTGGGATGGAGAAATATTTAACAGGTAAACAAGTTCTTATGTTAACATGCAACAGAAATTGCATTCCTTATTCCAATCTTCAGCAAAAGGCTTATGAAATTTTCATAGCAATTTTTWTCTAAATAGGACTTCAACAGAAAGAAGTAAGAGCAGGTGAAGAACTGAAGTGAGTAAAAGTATGACTAAATCAATGACTGAAAAGTTCAAGACTAGAGTTTAATCTGCCTTTTTCCTCTGAAGCCTCTCTTCAATAGAAGCAGACATGAAAGGACGAYGGTTAAAGAGAACTTCCACTGGCAGAAGACATCCAATAGAAGCTTCACCAATGTCATACAAAACGTTCTAACAAAGTTCTGGTGTGTCTGTAAATGGGTACAGTTTAAATCTAAACTGGAAACAGGACAATTCTGTGATAAAAATGCCGGGTAATAGCAAAGAYAGAAGTTTCTTCAAGTATCAGCATGGCTACCTGTAACACAGGATAGTGCCTAAACACTTTACATAGCACTATAAAGAAGGCTTGAAAATCAYCTTCAAAAATGTCCAAAGCCACTTAAGCTTGCTTTGTCAAATAGATATTTAACCATACTTAAACAGGAAACAAAGAAGGAAGGAATGGTAGTTTAGTGGAGATTACCTCGTTTCACCATCCAAGCCCCACACCATCTCACAAAACTCTGCAGTTCCCACTAATCAATTTCAGACCAATACAGAAGTAAGATTCACCTGCAGAAGGTTATTAAGCATGCTAGAGTACTTTCTGCAAGAAAAAGACATTAAAAAAGGCTTAAGCCTTTTTTCCTCTTTACCTCTTTCCTTTCCTGTAGCTTTAATCATGCAAGTTGCCCTCTGACATCTGCCATATCCTATTATGTTGCACTGCTGAAGTCAGTAAATACAAACTGGTAGGTGAAGTGACATACTGCACAGCCCCAGGGYTCATGTTCAGGAGAGAAAGTCTGAGTAGATCACTGTAAATATTTTATGGCACAAACTGTTCCACAAGGGAAGAAATATAATTTTTGTTTTATGGCTATATATTAGGATATTTCCAGAATCTTCAKAGCTACTGAAGGTCATTAATATTTAGGTTAACAGAGACTTTGAGAGGTTTAGAAAAATGTAGCAATCCGTGGTTACTGGAAGATTTTCTAGTCATCTTCAAAAAGTTGAAAGTACAACCTGAAGTTGGGCATTTAAATATTTAATTACGGAGATAAAACAATTAAGAGGTGCACACAGACTTCTGGAGAACCTGGATTAAGTACTTTTACTTTTGTTCTTCTATTTTTTGCAACATGAAGAAAAATTTTAAAAATCAACTTAAAYAGTAATAGAGTTTGCAATGAGGCGCGCCTTAAACTGTAACCAAAATTTCAAATATGGCTACAATATTATACATCTGTGGGGCCTTTTGGCTTTAATACAAGCCAAACTGACAATGCAGGGCACTTCTGTCAAGTCACAAGCATTGAGATTCCATGCTATGCCTTCCTATTGGAAGGAACTATTCTGAGGTCTCCATCTTCACAAGTTTACACCCCCTCACTTCTGTCACAGTAATGTGACAAAGAATCATGCTAAATGGGCTCTGGCTTGCTGAAGAACATGCCAGTTCCAAGGCCTGCATCTCCCAAAAATATCTGAAATATATAAGGATGGTCAGAAAAATATTTGCCAATATTGACAAATTCTTTACTGCTTAGGCTAACAAATGTCTTCCCTTGGGAAGAACATGTATCCAGATCAATTTAATTGGGCTTTGATCCACCTTTCCCCTGATCTAAGTTATTTTCAAGAAAGCCAGGGATCTTTGGAGACCTGAGAATTTATATACACAATATGTTTTTGATATGTGAAGCCCCAGAACAAGATCACTAATCATTACCTCTTCYTCTTTGCGGATATTGCACTCTATGGGAGTCACTTTGGCAGGACTCATGGAAGAAAATCTACTATTCAGTTCTTCTGCAGCAGCTTTTAATCGGTCAAATTTACGAGAGGCAATAACAACRCTGCAACCTGTGGAGACAAAATGAAACATCCTTCTACTAACACAATTATGCTATTTTTTTAGGAACAGCTTGGAGATATCTTGTAGGATGTGAATTTATTAGTCACTCACTAGAAAACACAGTGCTGAAGTTCTTACTAGAGAGAGAAATGACTGATGTCAGGTGCTTCTTAGCAACAAGATCCCTCTGTGCCAGAAAAGAGCAATTAAAAAAAATGTCCACAAGGTTTCCTGCAGAAGGCAAGATAGCCTGTGAGTTGCAGAGTCAGCAAAGCAGCTTCCAGACATCACTTCTGCTGCCTCTGCTCACAGCTGCCTCATTTATCAATTAAGTGATTTAAAGATATTTCAGCAGGTCTTGATTACAAAAAAAATGCTTGCTCCTAAAACCACAAAAATAATCTTCCTGTACAATTGGCTGCAGTTTTGACTAGCAGTGAGCAAATGTAATGGTCTGCTTTTTAACTCTATGGAGACTGAAGGAAAGGATAATAGCCTCACCAAGATTAATCTCTATCTGCAGACTACAGACAGCAGGAACAGAGCCTTCCCTGTGGCACTGCAGAATCCTAGACGCAGAAAGGAGAAGAAAAAAAAMCAGGCAGTAGCTCAAATACTCTTTTTCTTTTCAACATTTGGAGGCAGAAGGACTCATTCTACAGAGAAAAAATAATACAGGTGCCAAATTTAAGTCCAGCACTCACAATACAACCAGTCTAATTTCTTCTGTCACACCAGTRGATCGAGGACAGCTTTAAGTCTTCAGCAATTCCTACTACCTAGACTAAACCAAAGCACACCAAATTAATTCCTAGTGCAAATCCAGCAGACATGCAATTTKATGTAATGGATAAGCAAATTGCTAGCTTCCATGCCAAGCAGGCAAGGTCTTGCTCACAGTTTGCTCCTTCCATAATCTTAGCATTTCAGCAGTAATAATCTCTTCTTCATATCAAGTCTGCTGCTCATCTGCTTTATCATAAACGATCCTCAACTAGCCAAAAAAACAAAAAGAGAAAGTTAACATCTTGCCAGGTGTGGGGCATTTCTCCCCCCCCTCTGTTGCACAGTGGAATTTGGCCTCCCATGTGATCAAGTAAACACCAGAATCAGCTCAAAATAACTAGTGGGAGGAAAGAGCAGCAAGCTGTTCATTTGACTCAGGCTGTCTTGTGAAACTACCATATATTAAAAAAAATTAAAAATAGGGAGTTTAGCTCTTCCAGAMGGAAATGCTACAACTACATATCCTTTAATTCACCTTTAATTAGTGGCCATGTTAAAACCACATAAAGACAATAGTCTCTGAAGTCTCCTGATTTTTTTTTTTAAATTAGGAACTCCAGTCACTTGCACAACCACCCAAGTGGTTCATAAAATGCCACATACAATTACCAATTAACACAAAATACTGAATCTCAGTAGCCCAGTTGTATTTATGAATTTAAGTGCTTATTAATACACACACTGATATAGTATAAGGTCCAGTAACTCAGACTATATTTTTCCAAATATACTAATTGGGAGAGGGGGAGATTCTAATCAATYGGTACCTACTGTCACTATGACACTATGTCACTTAATTTTCTTCACAAAGAATGACCAGATCATTTCCTGACAGGGCTAGGAAAAAGAGCACAAGTTTCTAGATAAAAGGTTTAAATTTGCCCAGAAGGCTTCAAAGAAGCCTAGTTATAAAACATCGTACAGACAGTGCCAAATTATTGGCATTATCTGCARCTGCTTCTAGGAACCAGTCCCCCTTACCTAAAGTGCAGGGTTTACATGGAAATAGTTCCTGACCATCACCTTGTCAGGAGTAACCAGCARGTCTACAGGTAAGGAAGGTTACTCAGTCATAAGCCCTGTACAGCTCTTTCTTAATTTTTTCTCATGTGCTTTGCAGAGACTTGTTTTCTATTGTYTCCTTTTTAGCCTGTTATAGACACACTTTTGTTATTTGTACTTTGCTTGAGAAAAACAATGATAACCAAATAAGCACAATTTTAAGGTAACTGGGTAACATCACCAACAGTGTCATGATGCTCAAAAAGCACCTCTTTAAAGCAGCATGTAAGGACACCTGAAAAAAAAAAGCTTAGTTCCCCGGTAATACAAAGGTTACAGAAATAATCCTCCATTCAGCTCCACAAAGCAAGCSGAAAGCTGGGGCACAAAGGCCAGGAGAGGCAGAGATGCCTCCCAGCACAGCCTTAACAAAGAAAGCTCTTTACTATGAAGTGCAGTGATGCACATTCCAACAACTTAAACCACAGGACTGTGGAACCGAAAGGTGTAACACTGGTGTAGGTTTCTGAAGGCACAGAATCCAATCATGATAATAAACTATCCAAACCCGTTCTGATGCCGATGATCACCTAGCACTTCTGTCGAAATCTGCAAGAAATGTGTTGCAAGGCAGATGCAGGAGTAATTTCTACCTCTCCTGGCCTYACATCAGAAAGTCAGGAGACTGCCTTTCACTGCAGGTTTTACCACTTCTCTGTACTCTGCTTGGAAAGAAAACCCACGCCACGCATGATGAAGATGTTCTTCAGTTTCAGGACGCTCCTGTCGCAGGCAATGGGAGAAGCACCACGTTTCTAATGTTACCGTGMGGACAGCAGTCCAAGGACTGCTCTGCAAGGCTCAAGGTTGAACAACCTAGCAAATCTTCCAGTTAAAGAGAGATGAGAATTCAGTGAAAGGGGAGTCTGAGAGAAAGGGTCCTGTTTAACATAACCTCACCGACCTCTGTGTTTAAAGTAGCCAGTGTTTTACGGGCCCGCGGACCAAAAGGCACAGCCGCACAGCAACCTCAGCTCGTGTCCCTCGCTGTTCACCGACCCTGTCACAATGTCCCACCCACAGGCTCCTGGCACCCCGTTCCCGAGGGCCGCCAGCCTCCCAACAGCAGCACAGCCCGCGGGCACTCCCTGACGGCCCCTCAATCCGCCACCCAACACGGCCTCGCCCCGCTGCCCCACCGGGGCTTCCTGCGGAGCCCGCCCCGCGCCCACCTAGCGCCAGCAGGTCGGCGGCGATGGCCTTGCCGATGCCGGTGCCGCCGCCGGTGACGATGGCGACCCGCCCGCGGAACAGCCCCGCCGCCAGCAGCCCGCGCCCCGCCGCCGCCGCCATCTTCCACCTCCCTCCCTCCCTCCCTCCCTCAGCCGCGCCGCCCCCGCCAGTGACGCGCTGCCCCGCCCGCCCGGGGCTCGGCGCCGGCGACGGCGGAGCGGTGCTGGCGGTGCTGGCGGTGGCGGCGGTGCCCGGGTCCTGCGGCACGGCACGGCACGGCGCGGCACCGCGGGAGGCAGGTAAGGGGACGGGGGCGGCCGTCCGCCGTCGGTATCGCCCGGGTCCGACCCCGCGGGGCAGAGATCCCCGGCTCCGGGGAGGGGTCGGTGCCTCCGGTGGCGCCGCGGGGTCGCCGCTGCAGCTCCGCGGCGAGCGCCCACCTGCCCCCGGCCGCGGGCTCGGCTGGTGCAAGGGATGGGTCGCCGTGGTTTTGTGTTCCCTGTCGGGTCACCTTCCCCACGGGCGCGGTACCCTGAGGAGCAGCGGGAGCGCAGCCCCAGGCGGGTGGAATGCCCGCAGGGTATCGCGGAGCACAGGAAGGTGCTGGGGTGCGCCTGCCACGGACCCGCAGGCGGGCATGGACTCTTCTCTCTCTCCCGGCATGGACTTTGTTGGAAAGAGGCCGCGAAGGCTGAGGTGATAGCGTTTACCATGTCCCCAGCGTGGTAATTTCGGKCTAAAATGCCTTTGTGATGGTGGAGTCCATTCCCGCCTCTCGCGACCCCCTTAAAATCGCTCTAACTAAGCTCAGTATTAATTGGTCAGTTGACACAGAGGACAGACAACAYTATTTTCCTTTCTGTCCCACAGTGAAGTGACAGAGCATCTTTGTCTATTGCAGGTGATTTTAACCAGCGCTGATATGCCCAGCAGCATGTGTGTGCATGTTCAATGACTTTCGAGGCATCTCCTCTGTCCTTTTCAATAGAAGAGATGTTTGAAAGTATGTCTCAATTTTGTCTCTTTGTTTTTGCCATAGGATAGTTGGCTAATGTGAGAAGAGAGTGAAATTTAATTTTTTTTGTAAAGACATATAAGTAAAGTGGGAGAATCATTGAGTCTGTTTTGGGTTTCTCATTTGTTAAACAAATTTATTTACTTTGTCAAAAGCATGTTTTAAGATTTCATATTTTAAATCAAGGATACTTTTAGGATAACATCTCTGTCAGTTTTGGTGAAGTTTCGATGGAAGCTGCATGCCTTCCTTTTAAGTGTAGGGAAGGGAAGGCATGGAGAAGTTAAGTGTGTCCAGACTCATGCAGCAAAGGGTAACAAGACAGGAGTGGATTTCTGCAACTGTAAAGCAACTGYTAGACAAAACTGTCCTTTTCGCATGGGTCAATGTTTGCAGAATACTTCAGGTTTTTAAAGCACTTGACTTTCTGGAGGCAAAATGTGAAGCAGTGTGAGTGACACTGCAAAAAAAAAAAAAAAATTTACTCCCTCTCTTTAATTATCTTTCACAATCTGAGGCTTCACAGATCCCCATTAACTGTCTCTGGCTGCCCTACATATCTTAGGCAGGCCGTCTCAGTGCAATCATTAATTAATCCCAGGGAGAAGCACTCATCTGTGCTAGTGAATGAGATCTTCATATTCGAACCTCCCTGCCATTCTGACTGAGCTGCATGGCTCCAGGGAAAATCCAATGGGCCTTTCTGCTCATGTGACCTCCTTGACTTCAGTGTTCTTCCTAGAGAGCGCTATCGAGGAATTTTTCTTCCCTRTCAAGGATATATTGCTTGGTTTCTGGAATTTGTCTAGCCGTAGAAATGCCATAATTAAGGGGCTGAACACATGAGTTAAGATGCTGTGAGTGATGGRTGGGAGGAGAAAGGGGAARGGCATAAAGACTGTAGAGGAARGAGGATGGAAAAGGAGACATCCATTCCTTGGCATTCAGTGGAAGGTAGCCCCTTCTGGTACAAAACGTATCCACAAAGAATAGAGCTGGGATAACCAGTGCTCACAGACATTTTCAGCAATGCAGTGGCTTCTGTTCACTGTTGTGTGCGTTGCCTTTGAACCAAAGATTCAGACTGTACCTTTCTGTGTATTGATTTGACCCCAGTGGTTGAAAATCAAAATTATTTAAGCGGAAAGGAAGAAAATCTTATTAACTAAAATCAATTTTAATCTCCTYATATGCTTGTACTTTCTTAATCACAAAGGAACATTTCTTTTATTGGTAGCATTAAAATGTTGGTCTGTCACTACACACAGACATGGTAAATTCAGTMAGCATAAGGCTTTTACATATTGATGTTGCTCTATAAACTTAATGTTAAGATTCTGAATTTTTATGTGTTAGAAAGTGGTGTCTGATTAGACAACTCATTATTTATTTATTTTTTCAATATGTGTTTCAATATGTTTGCATTTGGAAGAAAATAAATCTACATTTAGAGCTTGCATTTGGTAGAAAATAAATCTTGCATTTGGAAGAAAATAAATCTACATTTAGAGCCTTGGAGTCTTAATTTTCATTTTTTGAATGAACCATCTGAATGAACCATCTGAATTTTTTTTGCTTTGATATAACTATTGCTTAAAACATCAACCACTCAAAAATCAAAATGACAAAAAAGAATTTATGAGTAGTTTTTTCCAGTTGTCAGCTCCTTGGGAGTTGTGGGATTAGCATATGTCGTTCTTGAACATCTACTTTTTTATTTACATATTGAAGAGTAAAAACTAGATTTCCTGTTTTTAAAGCTCCCAGATTGTGTCTTGGCTTTGAGTGAAGTAGTTCAATTTATTGAGATGAATAGGAAACTCTGCTTTTTCAGAAAAGGCTGCCTTTGTGCAAAGCTGATGTTGTTGCTTTGCCAGCCTATGGCACAGCTATTCAGCTGATGACACCTGCCAGTCCAGTAAGCTGCCATGCTTTAAAAATCCTGGCACTGATGTGTAGTGCCTTGAGAATTCCTTATGGCATGCTATCCTCCAGGATGTCTGTGCCCTCCTATAGCTCAGAATCCATGKTGGCAAGGGGGAAGGTCTCAAGAGCAGTTAGGTACCAACCTGATGTGAGAAAAGAAATGGCTCCAATCAGGAGAGAACTCTCCAYGGGACCCAAACCCCATGACAGGTATCCCTGGGGTCAGCAGTCTCACAAGGAGGTGAGAGCAGAGGAAATGTAATGGAAAGCATCTTAGTGTSAAAAATAAAATTTTAAGGATAGAACAGTTTCTCGCAGAGGATTTCTGCTAGTTAGCCTTTGGAAAAATGCAGGCTTGCACTCCAGTAGCCTCTGCTTTCCCAGATCCCACTCTTAGGGATGCTCCAGGTTTAGATCTTACTTCTCCTGGTATATCAAACCATACAAAGTGTAACAACACTAATTTCTTCCCTCCCCATACCTATAACAAGAAATGCCTGAATTGAGCCAAAACCAAATGAAAGCTGATTTGWGTTTGTGTCCTTACCTCTCTGGGCCATTCCATGGGATTATGCAACAGGCCTCTGTGGAAATCCCTGCTACTTTCACCTTCTGTCTGTACACTCTCTTCTGAGGCTGCTTTTCCTTTCATAATCTCTCAACAGCAAGTGAGAGCCTTTCTRTTTTGTGGCTTCTGGTTTCCATGTCAGAACAGCCTCCTGGTCAGCCCCAGTTGATATTMAGGCTCTCTGGTCAATTCATCTTTTTAGGGACTTCCTCTCTGGAAAGGCACTTTACTCTAGGCATATCTTGGGGGCTTTCAGTCTAATTAGAAGATAATCAGGATTTTAGAATCCTTTATCATTATCCCAAGGAATTTTCATTGCAGTGATTAAAAAAAGAAGGCACGAGATAGGAAGACAGACATCCTGCTCAAAGCACAGCTCGTGGTGGTTCAAGATACAGAAAATCAGCATGAAACAGTTTGTAACAGGTACACAGATAGATTTTTCCAAACAATCACACACCTTGCTAATACCATACGACTGATACTGAAGCATTCACTTGTCTGCAATTCGAAGTGCTGCATTTTCAATATCCTGGCATCATGGGTCTCTACCTGTGCTTGTATCCAATCACAACTCCCCTGAGCCAAGTAATTCCTGCTGCTGGAGATACTGTCTAAATATCTGAGATTATATTTACTGTGCAATGCATTAAACAATCCTGAATCACTCCCAGGGGAATCTTCMAGTTCTCTCTCTGTGCAGTTGTGCTCTCCAGCAACTCCTGGTCTGCAGCCAGGTGTTACTCAGAGAAAGCTCTGATTTGAAGCCCCAAAATATTGTGCCTAAAGAAGAACCACAGGATGTATGTAGCTTGTTGTTGGTATTTTTTTGATAATGCTTTCCAGACTGGATTTACAACTGACTGTGTTTTCCATTAGGCTGTGTGGCTGCAACTATTTCCTCTCTAATTGAAGGTAATTCACTGTGTGGTTTCTCCTCATTTTTTTAGAGTAAAGYACTGGGGTGCTTGATCTCACCAGCACAGAGCAGGGCAGGAAARGGGGCTGAGACTGAGATGGTCAGGGATCTTCTGAGTAGGAAGGAAGGAAAAAGAGTCTGAGGTGCTAACCAGGGTCCTTGTTGGTAGTTATTGTAAAGGTCAGGAAAGAGTCCAGCTTGCATTAAARCCTTTTGAGAGCACTGCATGATGGAGGTCTTGGAGCCCTTCACTGACATCCCCTGCCAGCCAGATCTGTAGCAGAAATGCTGTGTTAGCACAGGTGCTTTACACCCACCACTGGTGTTTCATGGCTTTGGAGCAACTCCCGGTGTTTCATAGGTTCACATGTGTGTGTATGTGCTGTGTGGAAGGTGTTTCCTCGACACTCTGGGGTGGGAGGTGAGCAGCTCTAAGCTCTGTTTTCCTGTACTACTCACTCACTCTGTTGTTACCATTTTCTAGGCATCTGCTTGGATGCCAGRAGGGGAGCAGACACAGCTTTGGTTTGGGTGTGCAGCAAGTTCTGAGTGCATCTTCCAATCCCAACCAAGGACAAGTTTGGTCTTATACCAATAAAAATAGATGCTACACTTGAACCCAGCCTAAAGGCACTGCTATAGAGGCAGGATGTTTGACTAAAGTTGGTGGATTGACTTTGTTCAGTTGTTCCTATGTACAGTGTAATCCAACAGTGACCTGGGGAACGAGGCAGGGATTGTAATGAGCACCTGCTGTTTTGAGGTTCAGGATGGCCTGTTTTGGCAAATCCAGAAGTGAGGGGTAGAGAAGGGGAACAGAGAAAGTGTGTCTCTGCTTTATGGTTGAAATCTTCTTTTTCCTACAAGATGTAGGAACTTCTGTTGAGTTTATTCAAGACTCCTACCTAAATGCATAGTTTGCTTTGAAGATTTAAAATCTTTCATTTCCAAATCATGTTCCTTTTAAGATTTGGTTCTCTTTAAAGGCTTATGTGCACATGCCATTTCTTGACTTTTTCAGCACAGTGTAATAAATACAAAGAAACAGATATCAGATATCATCATGTGGAGGCAGTGAGAAACTTTTGTGTCTTTTATCTCAATTTCTCTTTCTTCTTRCAGTCTGGACAAATAAAAGGGAAGACAAGAGCAAGATAGCACTTCAGGCTTTTGCTCCAAAAAGGTAGACCAGTACAGCTGGGGGATTTAAAAAAAGTTGGTGTGCAAGAAAATCTTTTGGGCAATCCATTTAATATAAAACAAAAATGCTCAGCTATTCTTGTATGCTGTCTTCCAGTTAGTAATGTGATCTACACAGCAGTCATTATTCTGTGACATTTGGAAAAGTTATGGAATAGCAAAGGAAAATAAAAAGAACTGATTCATAAAACAGATACTCTSTAAAATGTCCTTGACTTTTTAAAAAAATCCTTGGAAAATGTCACTCACAAACAATGCAGTGATACTGTGGAATGCATCCCTCCACTATTTTTCGGTGTTGTGTCTGTATCTGTAGAATGCTGTCAGCGAGCATTTGGGTGTCTCACGGAAGGATGGAAGGGAGAGAAAGGATCTTGAGCCACCCAGCATAGCCCCAGGAGCCAGGAAGCCCTTAATCCACACCCACACAAGTCCAGTCTTGCTGCAGCTTCAGTGATGGTCAGCAACTGAGCTGGCCACAGCAGGTTTGGCTCATGGTGTGGTGCTGGCACTAATGGCACCTGCCAACAGGCAGGAGCTATGTGCTGTGACAGACTGGAGGGACTGGGCAAACCTGGGTCTGTCAGTGCTTGCCCGTAGAAAMCATGTTGCTTGCTCTCACCTCCCTTTGCTTTTGGATTGAGCTTTTAGCACCTACTGCCCCTGAGGGGAAGGCATGGAACATGGGGGGCTCTATTAGCAAGCACCTGTAAAGTTTTTGGTGACTTGAGTCATATTCTGTGTTACCCCTCTGCTTGGGTGCTCAGTGCCATCCTCTGCTTTTGGCAGTCCCGCTTCAAGTCTGCTCCTGCTCAGATGCATGCCCAGAGCATGGTCACTTTTCTGTGTCCAAGAAAGTAAAGTGCTTGGAAGCCTGTGGATTAAGCAGGGAGGGTAAGATGGGTGTGAGCTTTGAACTTTGCTGCTTGCTTTCTTTTACCTTGCTGGGGTTGCAGAAGTAGATGTTTCCCTTTGTGTCTCTTGCTGTTGTTTCACAGTCCCTTAAWGCAACTTGAAATCAGCCACTGCCAGGAAAGGTAGTTTCTCCCTCCTTCCTTAGACATTCCTTCCTGCAGAAAAGCTGCTTGGTGAAGAAGCCATATGACTAAAAATAATATTTTATTATTTTCAGTGAGATAAATCCCCCTGTCAAGCTCACCACAAGCTGCACAGACCATGGTACTGATAGGGAGGAGCTGTTCTTGCCTCACCTGATATGTCATTCATCACAGCCTTGAGTATTTGCTWGATTCAAGTAACTGTGCTTAATCTAGTTTGAGCTGTTTCACCACAAAATAGAGAGGAGACAGACATGCATTATTTTAGCAGGTGAGGATGCATATGTGAAAGATAATGTGGAGTCATCAGGTATTTAAAACAGATCCAAAGATGTGGAGGGAGCCTACCATTTGGCCCTTTTCCTGCATAATGTGTGTATTAAATGTGCTTTCTTATRTATGTCTCATCACATGTTTTTCTAGGGCCTGGGGCTGCATATTCTGCATTAGACCAATGCATTTTGTCCTAACACGATTGGCTGGTGACAGAAAGATCTGTCCTGAACAGCTGGATGCGTCTAATTCCACCTATTTTTCATGTGTACATTCAGCCAGCAGATAACCCCTTTAAAATTACTAGGGATTGGAAAAGATCCTTTGGCTAACATGCATGTTCAAAACCACACACATGCACACTCACAAAATCAGAGGCGGGGTTGGTTGGAGATGGGTTTGGGGCTGCAGAGGTTATGGACTAAAAGCAGCAACCAAAGGAAGATCTGTGGTTGGAAAGCTCTCAAGGTGTGTCTCTGGGGTAAATTTCCCTTCATCTCTTCCCCACCCTGCATAACTCACAGTGCTTCTAAAGCACAGGTTGTTTTTTTGTTTCTGCAGACAACCCCTGCATGATGTGAGTGAAGACACAGTGCCAGTTCTTCTTATGTGTTGTACATTTTATGTGACTATAAAAATAAAAATTTATACTCCTTGCAGCTTACTGTCTACATTTTTCCTCTCATGTCTGCTCTGGGCAGTCATAAAAAGGTTATTTGTGCTGTAGCAGGGATTTAAGATCAAGGATTTTATTAGCTTGCAGGAAGGCTCTTCCTTCCCRTCTGCATTCAAACCGGATAATTTCTCTTCTGTTAGCAGCAGRATCAAACCCTGAAAACCAATGCAAGAAGCTTCCTTTGACCTAAATGGTGCAAGGCCAAGCTTTTAGGCTCCCGTTTTGTGTGTCAAAGACTATTACTGTCATGGGAAGCATAAGCAGCCGTAGCTTTCCTGCATAGTAACAGAAGACTGTGCTGCTAAAAATTACTCTGCAGAGTGTTTTTGCAGAGACGCCTCCCCAGGGTTCTCCATCTGTTTTCATATGGAGATTAATAACAAATTGTTTGGCTAATAAACTGCTCCTTGCTATCTCTGAAATATGACCATTTCTTTTCCTTCCCTCCCATGGATGGTTATTAGATTCCTGTCTGCCCCTGTGCTCCCACGTGGGAGACATCGCTAGTATGAGATGCACAGCAATTGTTAATGTTTCAGCTCCACAGCAAGGCTTTTAAGGGGTGAAGATTTTGTGTGTGGCTGAAAGAACTGGTGCTGTGGACAGCTGTGTAGTGCTAAGGGCTGGCCTTCTCCTTGGATGTGGTAAAGAAAAGGAAAAGAGAAAAATCAAGCTCTGTGTAYACTCTGTGATTTCTGCAAGAGCCCATTTCTTGTTTGAACTGCAGAGAAAATAGTCCCAGGAAAAATGGGACTGAGGCTTGAACCTGTTCAACTCACCMGTCCTGCTGTGGGATGTGGCCTGATGGTGGTACTTTTTGAAGTGTTCTGTTTGGAAATTCTGGACCAGMTGATGGGGTATTCCAGCTGCTTCATTGGGAAACTGCTGAGAGAAAAATAAACGTGTACTGTGAGAACACGCATAAGATCAGGAGGGGTCTCTGTGATCTTCAATCTCACTGCTCCCTAATGCAAACTAGAGGACTTCCCCATGCTAACACCTCTTCTGGTCAAGTACAGGTGACCAAAATTGTACCAAGATAGTCAGTCCAGATTTGGAAGTTTCCAGTGACAGTAAATCATCCAGTGATTTATACCAAGGGACACCTACCCACTTCGTTAAAACACCTACCTAACATCTGCCCTGTATTTGTATCTTTCAGCTTTTGATCTTGCTGTATCTTCCTCTGCAGGATCAGAGGGATCTCCTTCATGCGTTTGGTTTTGATGTAGACAGACTGACATCAGATTTTAACTTCTTGTGCCTCAAACAGAATAATCTGAGCTCGTTCACTTCCTCATCCCAAGGGCTTTGACTCAGCCACAGCCGCAGTGTTTCTTGGGGTCTTGTCACCCATTGCCCATTTCCTCTCCTTTTATCATCAAGAGAATAAACTGAGCTGCCACTCTCTGATTACCCTGCTGTGGAGGTGTTTCTAGTGCTGCTGGTGACTCACAGTGGCAGTAGCTGCTGTAGTGGGGTGGGAACATCAGACATAGCAAAATAACTCAGGGATCATAGGCATCTTCTGGTCATTAATCAGCATTCTGCCTGCTTGGTGAGCACACGAACAGGGCACATTGCCTGTGCCTGTCTGTGAGAGATTCAAAAGGGACATCACCTTGCTCCTTGCATAGTCAAGGCCAACATAGTTCTTTAGGCTTTGGCATCACCCTGAGAACTGACTTCAGCTTATCATCCATTTGACTTTAAGCAAGGCCACAGCTGGATTAACTTTAAGAAAAAGAAAAAAAAGCCCGACTATAAATCTTTGCTGTAGCTTTGTGTTATTTTTAAATGTTACTCGCAAATCATCCCCTCCTCAAGTCGGTAGGGACTAAACATGGAACTACAGCCAGGAACTTTGGGTGTCTAATCAACTTCTATGCCTCCAGACTTTTAGTAGATTGTACCAGAAGCGATGCTTTTGGTTTTTCTGTTTCCAGGCTTGTTTTCCTTACTTTTGGAAGCAGAATCTCATTGTTGTCTCAKGGACTTACCAGGCTCAATCAGGTAATTTCATGGTTTTATAGAYACAAAACATGAAGTTTTACAGCTGATTTTCAGAGAAAAATGTTAGAATAATGTTATTGTACCTCCTGAATGAATTTACTACAAAGAGTGAGTTTATTCCATAGCATAAATTCATTCCATTTACCTCTAAAGGCATTTTTWAAAAAAAAMCCAACAAAAGAAAGCTTACGTGAATTTCTGTTTTCCAGTATGTCTGCGAATGTAGGCATACATTTTTTATGGCAGGTGAGATGGCAAGCTAAACAGACTCTTTCCAGCCATGCTCCAGAGCTAAACAAAATATTCTCTGTCCACTGATTTAGAGGTAGTCTGACTTCTGGGGTATACTGAATCYTCAGTGTTTTTTAAGTCCATTTTATGTGTCTTCTGATCACCAGGGAAGATTTGTTTTCTATAGTTCACAAAAATAATCTGAATTGTTGAATTCTTCAAGGCTCCAYAGAGCCAACTGGGCACAGTCATAGGTGTTAAAGTGAAACAATTAAAATTTTTGTGTGGGTGTGGTGTGTGTGAGTGTATGAGGTATAAATAGTTATCTTAAGTTCTGCACAAAATTTCAAAACACACCAGCAAAATCTTAGATCTGTGGGAAGACCAGGACCATACTGCCAAATTTTAAAATGCTCCACAATTTATCATCCATTCAAGTAAGACAATTTCCCCAGCATTGTGTGGGCTATAAACTATGATACTTGTGTTTCTTAGTTTCCTGTTAAAGAAATGACTCATTTACTAGGTAGAAGCTTGATTATAGGTCAGATGCATTTTTTAAAATACAAATGTTCATGTAAATGTTCAACAGAGCTTTTCAGAGTTGCTAAAATGTTATTCATTGTATTCATATTTGTACCTAAATGCTTCATGAATACTTGACACCGTCAGTTTCTTAAATGCTATGAAATCTGGGAACCATTAATCCTTCTTCCATATTCATGGAGCAGGAGTTGTCTGCCTCGATGCATGTTTAATTATGTGTTTTTTACTTAGGCAGCTTTCCCACCGATGACAGTTTCACTTGATATCGCTGTTAACTTTGCTTGAATGAGGAGMAAAAAATTGACTCCTTGTATTTGTTACAAAGATTTGTGAAAACTCACATTGTTTTCTCTGCACAATCAGGGCACTTTGCTGTGGTTCCCAATTCTCTCTCCAGCAAAGTGATTTTAATAATAATTTTGCTTTAAATCCACTGTATAGACTGTATTTTCCAAAAGTATGGTAACACTATGTATTGTGAAATTGCTAAAGTTTGAAACATCACTCATTTTGACATAATTTGATTAATTTATGGAACATCCTTTGCATTGGGCTGTAAATTATTAGATGCTCAATTTGAGAAAGGCTAGCACCAACATAGCCAATGTGCTGGACAAGCACATTGTTCCTGTTGCAGTTGTCTCTAGGCCRGTCCCTTAAATCAGTCAACTTATTTTTCATCTGTGGTTTCAATCCTTTATACCCATTCATTTGGGCCAAAACTATTGTCTTCTGTTTGTTTTCAGCACTGCAGAGGAATTTTAAATTCATCCAGTAAGCTGGCCATGTTTAATCCCTTCTTATAAATGTTAATACTTTTTCCAGTAGCTTTGGTTTGTTGTAGTGAGAATTGGACCCTGGAATCAAGATAGATTAGATACCACAAAACATGTATTCATGTAAGAGAACTGATGTTCTGGACAATAATAGGGATCTTCCGATGACATTTAAAGCAGTTGGAAGTAACCCTTTTTAGAAAATTCTGTCAATCTGTTCAGCTTGGTAACAAAAAGACACTTTTTCAGCCTTTTCTCTCATTTTAGGCTGGGAATGGAGTGCGTAGTTTGGATRCCAGCAGTGGGACATCTTACCAGAACAAAGCTTCCATGGGACCATTGTCTAATCAATGACTTCTAAGTGCARGACTGGTGCTGTTGGATTGGAAATAGGTGCTACAAGATGCCAGGGGAGATGACTGAGAGCAGCAGCGGGATGGAGGAGACCGTGCAGAAGGACAGCAAGTCTGGAGGCCAGAGCCCTCRCTGTGGCACAATGAGAAGGGCTGTGGCAACCACTGTCACCTTTGATGGGGAAGCCACTATGGACCGAAGGAAAAAGAAGAAGAAAGAGTCCCGCCCCGAGTCAATAATAGTCTATCGGTCTGAGAATGACAATAAAGTGGAAGAAGAACAGGCGGATGAAGAAGGAGGGGAGAGGAGCTCTGAGGAAGGCTCCAAGTTCCTGGGTCAGTCCGTGACAGATGGTATGTATTCCTGGGAACACCCACTTCCCATAACTTTTTTTGATGCCATCATGCTCTAAGGACAAATGGTAGTGACTGTGGGATCAACCCTCTCCAAGACTCCAGACAAGGAGAGCTTGAGTTCATACATGAAAATGCTCTGAAACACAAAGYATTACAGGCTGATTTGGGATATCTCCTGCAGTTCTTTGCTAAGTTTGGTTGTTGCTACAGTCCTAGTTTTAAATGTATGTGCTGGTTGGGGTTGGTGTGCTGTTTGCAGTGCTATGAATGCACTAAGGCAGTGATGACACTAAGSTGTGATTAAGCCACTGTCCATGCCTGAACAACTGCCTTTAAGTGAAAGGATGGAAGCAGATGGAGTTAGTGGCTCTGCCTGTGATAGGGAATTGAACTCATTACCTAGGATTTGCTGTTGCCTTCTGTTTGCATACACTCAGCATGGCTTCCTCTTCAAGGGTGATAATTGGCAAGGTCATCATGGGCCATCTTGGAGTCACTTTCACTTCTGAATACTTTGTACAGAAAATAAATCTGATATAGATGAGTTTWTCTGTGTTGTAGGTGTCTGGAACATGCCTTTAGACAGCCGGTATGTCACCTTGACTGGAACAATCACCAGGGGAAAGAAGAAGGGTCAGATGGTGGACATCCACGTCACACTAACAGATAAAGAGCTRCAGGAACTGGCTAAGTCAAAGGAGCCTCCTAAAGAGGATGTACCCGAGAAGAAGAARAAATGTGATGTTGGATTGGACAGAGGACCCCACATCGTCCTCTGGACCATCATCTGCCTCCCCTTCATTTTTGTAGTGTCCTTCGTGGTTTCATTCTACTATGGAACCATTACATGGTACAACATCTTCTTGGTGTACAATGAAGARAGGACCTTCTGGCACAAAATCACCTTTTGTCCCTTTCTGATTATCTTCTACCCAATTATAATTATGGTTGTTTCTTTCTCCCTAGGCCTGTATTCAGCTGTAGCCCAGGTAGCATGGTCCTTTGGGTACTGGTGGCGTGCTGTCAGGGATATGGAGAAGGGATTCTGTGGCTGGCTCTGCAGCAAGCTGGGCTTGGAAGATTGTTCTCCGTACAGCATTGTYGAGCTGCTTGATTCTGACAATATCTCAGGTAGTCTCTCTGGCAAGAGCTCTGCACAAGGGGTTGAGACCTCAGCAGTCTGAGCCTTTGTCCTGGATGACTATTATGGTCATATTTCACCTAGAAAATAACACACTGATTTTTTTWAAATATACATATATATTTAAACACAAACTTAATGAATAAAATATTGGGCTGAGAGTCCTCTTTAAATGTCACAGAATGCAAGAATGCTAGCTTCACATGCTCTGGGTGGGGAGGTGCATGGCTTTCCAAGGATTTGTCATGTGTTGTAGCTAATTACAGCTTCTGGGAATGGTAAGAAAATCTGTGTCTGCAGGGCTCTGGCTCTTTGTGGAGTGGCAGAGATACATTATGCAAAGTCCACTTCTGTCAAGWTAGACTTCACTTTTCAGAAATAGGACATAACAGTGACCTGTGACCCAGTGAAAAGAAGTCTCTGCTTGGGGKATGAACTTCAAGAGACAGGAACCCATTCAGAGGTGAAGGTTAAATTGCAAAATGTGTGATGTTCCTGCAGTATTCCTAGAAAAGGTCCTTTCCCAGTCCCTCCAACAAGTGCAGCTAGCTTAGGCAGGCTGACTGYTTAGACACTGTCAGAGTCCAGTGTTACAGGCCACTGGAATAGTGGGAGAGTCAGAACAGCTGCCAACAAAGGCGTGTGAGTTCTACACTGACCTGAAACAYCCCCATCACACGATGGAAGAGCAGGGCTTGCTTTCTAATGCAGTGTGTGGGGACCTGATGGGGCTGTCACCAAGAACCCTCAAGTGGCTGCAGGTGCTCAGATAGGTKCTTGGAATGTCCCTGCAGGATCTCTTGATCTGTGCACTGCTAGGGAGGAATGAGCTYCAGGAGTCGTACACAGTGTGCAGTGCAGACAGGTGCATTACAGGAAGGAAACACCTGCCCTAAGGAGGTGCCTGCCCCTAAGGAAGGGGCAACCATTTGCATCTCACTGCAGGTGCAGATTGGCAGCACTTGGCTTTAGGGAGGTGGAGTTGAAGGCACCTGGGGATGGGAAGGTCTCTGAAACAAGTAACTTTGGYTTTCAAGTTGCTCTTATGGAAAATCTGTTGGACCTCCCCTTTCAGAATGGGGGAATCCAGGAGTTCATGTCTATCTGTGCCTCAGCTCTGGAAATCTGTGTCACCTTCCCCGCCTCACCCCTCTTCCTGGTTAATTATATGGGAGAGCAATGGATCATACATCCTTCTCCCCTTGTGTCTCATTTTCATAATGGGTTTCCCTCCTTTTTTGGACTTWCCATGGCAGCACCATAGTGGGCTCCCTGACCAGGCTGAGGTTGGCACCATAGGCTGGAGAAATTTTAATTGTCTCTTAAGAAAATGACTAGCAGAAAATTCTTTTTCTTTGATCAGCTTGGGTTTTGGCCCAAGAAGGAGATGAGCAAAATAAAAGAGAGATTCTAATAGGGACTGAGTTACACATCTGAAAAGTGATTAATTTTCTGAGTGCTCCAATTCAGCTGGTGCTGCTGGCAAGTGTGTCTGAGCCCAAGCCAGAGGAGCCCACATTTGCATGTGTAGGTAGGTAAATCGTGTCGTGCAGTTCATCAGCTGCACTGTCACTCCTGTCTGTGTAGATGTCTCACTTCCCCAGTCTCCCTATCAAAAGGGAACCGTTCTAGTTTTAGGGTGGTAAAAAGAAGYATTCAGAAGCTGGATTTCACAAAAACTAATGCTTTGTGTTGCATTTTAAGGTTGAGYTCAAGACTACACTGACTGTCCYGGTTAGAACATCTGGGARCTGGTGATGTATAAACAAGTCCATYTGWTCTTCTAGCCCTGACARTGAGAAATAAGTAAWTCCTACTGCATCCTTGGTCCCTGGGAGGTCAAAGAAGCCTTTTAGCMCTGGCTGAAGGCTTAACAGTGCACAAACCAAATATCAAGAGCAGGCTTAATCCCACACTAAACTGAGAAAGCAAAGGAGCTTCCTGGGCACAGGTACAGTCAGCCAGGCTGTGTTTGTTGCTTCCTACTTTCAGTTTTTACTGTGAAGTCTTTCAAGGCAATTATCAACTTCCAGAAAAAAAACAAAAAAACCAACCAAAAAACAAAATACCCCAACCTGTGAGACAATGCCAGGTAGTTTAGTGGGATTCAAAGAGGCTGACAGATGCCTGGGACTGGTTCAAGCAGTGAAATGCCTTTCCCAGGGCTGTTCCAATCAGGTGGCTGATATTCCTCTGAATTAATGGAGATGCTGAGGATAAGCCATGCCAGTGCTGGCAGTCTGTAGTGATCCAGTGCAGCCACTCTACTTAATATGTCTCCACATGGAAATTGCAGGCTCCCACATGGCTGGAGGGTGGGAATAAGTGATACTTAACAAGCATTAAGGAAAAGGAAGGTCCACTGGCAAGTGTTCTCACGCTTTGCCTAAAGGGACACTGCTGGCATGAAAGGAGTGGATTGTGTATCTTGGCCCCAACATGCAGCAAACAAGTTTGGGGAAAGGATGGCTGGCAAGTGTGCATTGCTGCAGAGGGAGAAAACCCAATTCAGCTGTCACTGTGAAACAGCAGCTGTTCAAGGCTAGACGAAAGGCTGGGGTCAGTAGCACAAAGAGCCTTCAGCTTACAGAGGGCTCGGATGATAAATACTAGCTCATTACAGAATACATCCATGTGAAATGTCTGCTGAGCTGCAGGATTTGCTTTCAGGATTGCTAACAGCCCGCTGGAGTGGAGACAAAACCAAATCTGTGCCTCTTACTGCTATGTAGACACAAAGGAGCGTCAGAGGAGTCATAGTACCCTCCCTGCAGTGGCAGCTGTGCTTCTGGGTTTGGAGATCACATTTTATGGGATATACTGGGACAATCCATCATGTGTTTTCTACTTCTTTACACTTAACTAAGCTTGCTTTGGCTCTTGCTAAATTCAAGGCGTTCTGTCATTGATTTTGGTGGGGGCTATTTTAAGCTTGGGGTTAGCTCTGGTGCTATTTGTAAAGGTTTAATTCAGACTTTTCTCTAAACAGCTCTGGATAGCTTTCTCTCTTGCCCGTTATCCTCTGTAGCAGTTTGCCTGTTACAAAATATATAATCATAATCAATTGTTGYAATAGAAAAAAAGCACAACTTTTTGTCTTGTTCTACCCTGCTTTCAGAAACTCACAAGTAATTTCTGCTTATGTGCCACTGTCAAACTGCAGGGAATTCCAGTTAATCTGATTGTTGAGTGTGTTTCTGGCAGCTCTAGTCTGGATTTTTTTTAAAGTAAAGGTACTGTGTGTTTGCTGATAATTWTTTTTACTTGCATTCCCTTTTCCCATCCTTGCTGGCCTGGGTGGAGAATAAAGATTTATGTGGCTTTACAATAGTGTTGCTGTCGTGCTTCTGCTTGACTTTGTGTTAAAATCAGTGYGGTGGGATGGACACAGTAATTCTATGCTTATTTGAAGATCCACTTTAAAGTGTCTGAAATGGGTCTAAGTTCTACCCCTTGTTAACCAGTGCCTATCCAGACTTGTTATATCTCTGGGTCCTGGATTCTTTGTTTTTGCTTCATAGCTCACAAATGAAAACTTCTGATTTAATTTCGCTCATTGGGGATCTGTTTAGCCTTAACCAYAAGGATCTGCAAGGGAGGACACACTTCCATACCAAAACAGGGAGCATATTTAACTCTACAAAGGTGATCTGGGTGTCTGTGACTTGGAGCTGCTATTTACAGCTGTGTGCTGGGAAGACTTCTTACAACCCCTGGGTACTTCAGACATATCTCTGATAAGTCAAAGGAGAATCCACCAGCACAGTTTTTCAAGGTGTCTAAATATTAAATGACAATTTTGTTTCTCTCCCACATAGTCTTATTACCATCCTACCCTCCTGCTGGCAAAGGAAAAACACTTATTTGAAATCTTCTTTTTTCTAAGAAGGAGAGATGGATCTCCAGAAAACCCAAATGAAATTCCTAGCTGAGGGCTAGCAGAACTTCAGTGTAACAYGTCTTTGAGCCAAAAGGCTACCTGCAGGTGATGTCCTCAAACTGGCAGTGCAACAGCTGGAAAGAGCAAGAAGGTGCTTTTGGTTTGATGCTTGCTGCAAAAATTGCTAAGGGAACAGGATTCCCTGTGTGGCGAGTGTATGTTGAGGACTTCCCACCTCCAGTAAAGGACACTCAGCTTCCTGGTGGCAGGATGAGATGGAGGAAGTGGGCCCAGAGAATTTGCTCATTAGCCCCTGCAGTTCTCACTTCCGAGGTGCAATAATAATTTTATAAGATAATGGTTAACASTTTGAGGGACTCCTGTTGAAGACCTTGGCACCAGGCAAAGTGCACCWGTATGACTGGGACACGTATCTCACCAGGGGAGAGAAGGTGCTAATTCTGCCTTCTTCACCCCATTCAAGTTTCTTTGAGGACYGAAACAATCACAGCATGAATGTGCTTTTATCCACAATTAGTCCCTTGAATTCACCCTTCTAATCCCTCAGGCCAGTGCTTTGAATCCTAAGGCCAGGATCCTGCAAGCCCTTGCTAAAATTATCAGCAGAGGTTGCACCATGGATCCTTATAACTGCCCCCCACGGGAGCCTAGCTGCAACCACTAGTTAAGAAAAGCCACTCCAATGTGCTCTTGCACACTGAAGCGTGCAATTACACTAGCATTACAGAGAGAAAATAAGGATGCACAGCCCACAGTTCTGCACTGTGATGGACACAATTTTGCTCAAAATTTATGCCACCCCTTTTTGTCCCAGGCAGTGAATTATCTGTGGGATCATTACCCTTCCTGCTTTTTTCTAAACACTTGGCAATGTGGAGGCAGTTATATTAATGTGTTTTCATTTCTGAGATTAGTCCATGCACACTTATTCCCTGAATGAAAAAGGGAACTCACAAAAAAAAAAAAAAAAAAAAAAAAAAAAAAAAAAAAAAAAAAAAAAAAAAAAAAAAAAAAAAAAAAAAAAAAAAAAAAAGAAAAAAAAAGAGAGGTTGAATCAAATTCAGGAGGCTAATCCACTTGGAAACACAACTTTTCAATTAATTTGGTGAATTAGGAGGGACATTGTGTTTGCTTGTCTTAACTACTAAAGTTTCTCTTCCAACAGGCAGCCATTTAATGATGAGGGAGGGCTTGTGGTTGTGTGTTAGGTCCAGGTAAATTACTAGGGAGTTCAAAAAGCCCCCTAAACATCCTTTTACATAAGAGGTGAAGTGTGATTGCATACAACCAGTCCAGAGAAATGAGGCTTGAGGGTCTCTCATGTATCCCCCTTGATCACCTAGTTCCATTAACTTTCAGTTTTCCTATTTTCATGTCATTACACGGTAGCTGAAGTCTGTCAGAATGCATTAAAATACAAAGAATGCCTGAGTCRGGCACACAATGCATTTTTCCGTGTGTTAAAAAAATGCCCTTGCTTTTAGTGTGCTGAAACATAAAACSTTACTCCCAGAGCACAGCAGCTAAAATCCATTGTGGTTTGTATCCACTGAAATTAGATATGCCATGGATGAATTTGACCTGGAACCCCTTAAGATACAAATCTTAGATGTGATCTCCTTGTCTTAGGGCCCTTTTCCCAGCTATTTCTTCCAGGTGGAAACTTACCTTCACAAGATAAAAAAGGATAYCTACTGAATTTGATGGTATGTTCTGCCTGCAAATAGGATAAACCCCCACTTCCCAGGGAACATGTTCCCCCTGGAGCTTGGTTTATTGCAAATTCCTCCATCAGTAATGTATATTAAGACCAATATATCTGAAGGTGCCTTTGACTATCTTCATATATATGCCAAATTCTTTCTGCTCCTACAATGATAAGGTAAGACAATCAATTATTTCTACTACAAAATACCAGAAAACTGGCTCATTAGGATATAACACAAATATAGCTTAATTTAATCTAGCCTGATTATCTGAATAACCTGCAGTTGTGATCTGAACACCCCAAATATCATAAATAAATTGAATGGCTTTTACAGTGTCAGTGCTGGGCATGAATCCAACAGCTCCTGGGATAGTCCCCCTAAGGAGAGCATGCCTTTTATTCAGTCTTTCTTTCTAAAATACATTACTTGTCTCAAAGTATGGAAATGTCAGCTTCTAATGATGTACTTAAATGAATTTGTAGTGAGATACCTTAGTAATTACAGGCAATTACTAGAATATTCTTCCATCATAATGAAGATTTTGCTTAACACTTTAACCATGTAAAAGTGGCATGCAGAATTAATAAACAKAAGTAATTTTAACCTTCATTAATTCATTCAAATGAGCTTCTCTGTGATTTAAGAAAGGAGCAGAAATAATTCCCAGTAAAGAAAAAAAAATGGAATATTTAATATAACGAGCAGTATCATCCCAGGGCACACATAGTGTTACTGCTAAATGACATCTCGGTTCTCCCCAAATACGAGTTGGTAGAGTTGCCTTCAGTGAGTCACAGTGATAATAGCACTGGCTCCTCTCTAATGTGATTAAACACCACTGGAGTGATGGACTCCAGCATCCAAACAGGCTCCAAGGCAAAAGTTTCATGTCATGATGGTGACTTTAGCCAGCCCCATGATTACAGCAGCATTGCTCTGAGACTCCAATTCCACCCTAAAACCAACTCTCTTTTGATGGCTAAATTTGTCATTAATTTAAAGAGAAAGTTACACGAATTTTAATGTGTCTTGACTGTCTAATACAAAAAAACTTGCAAAAATCATTGTCATATTGATGACTCCCTTCCTTCCAAGGAATTCTTGTGAACAAAACTGAAATTATTCTTCCCCTGCCTCTACATCTGACTATCACGTATG